GTTGCGTGATTAGTGATGAATGCGGAGAGAGAACAAAACAAAACGCCGGTCACGAATTAGAAGTACAAACCGAAGATTTGCAAAGAAAAATGTCCGAGGATTTCGATATAAACCAAGAGGAGACTGGTTTTCCTTTGCTAAAGTAAGGAAACTTTGCTTCCTTTGCTCCTATAAACAAACTCGCGAGACTAGCATATCTCAGAGGCGCGCGCGCTGCACATATGTGCTGCGTCATCCGCCGGAACGGCTTCCGTGTATGACAGATACTGGAAGTGAGAGAAAGTGTTTATTACGTTTGAAATATGGATATTTTTCTTACAAAAACGCATGCATTCACTACAGGAGGCCTTTATTGACCCCCCGGAGCCGTGTGAGGCACGTTTTATTATGAATGCGCACGCTTTATTTGACGGCTTGTGGACTGTTCAACTGCAACACCCGCTGACTGCAATGATAGAGCTTGGAATAGCCGGGACAATTTTTAATATAACTCCGACTGGATTTGTCTGAAAGAAGAAAGTCATATACACCTAGGATGCTTCGAGGGTAAGTAAAACACAGTCTAATTTTCATTTTTGGGTGACCTAACCCTTTAACTGACAAAGAATGTAATTTCAAGCATATTAATCTGTATTAGGAAATGATTAAGTCAAATAAAACAAGAGAGTCAAAGGACTCACAAAAGCTGATCAGTGTATCCATCTATGAACAGGGACTGAAATCCTGGACGCTTTCTAAACAAATCTATCAACTTAAAAGAAAAGGGAATTCATTAATTTCTGTAAAAAAAAAAATGTACATGAAAATTACATATGAATTTGTTTTAAACGAACATACCCCTCTAATAAAGAAGTAAAGTGCTCCAATGGTACTTATGATGTGTCCTGTCAGAAGCAAGTAGTCGTGGCTATTATTTTTATAATGAAATGGGGGCTTTAATGACTGAAAAGAAAAGAGTGGGGATGAGACATAACATTCAATAGTGAAGCATTTACACTAAGCATGCACAAAGTATAGTTTAAATCAGACATTGAACTGGAATTAGTTGCAAGTATGCATATATTCCAGAAAAGTTGTTTTTATTTTCTCAATAAAACGTAGGCAGAAATATTTGTGTCTAGCATGAAATGTGATGTAAAGCCAAACCCCTGCCCATCTCACACCCTTTTTGTAGTCCCCATCTTTTGGCTGTATACCTACTTGGCTGTTGTTGTTAAAGTCCTTCCCTGCTTCGCGGTGATAAGCTACTGCAGTGAAGATGAAAAGGTAGATAACATAAACGATAAAGTTGAACAAGAACATCCGTTTCGCAAATCTCTCCCACTTCTCTTCAATTAGTCGGTTGAAGGGCTCAATATTGAGCATCTCGAGGCGATTCTGAAATCAGATCAAATAACCAAGCATGACAGCATTTATCAAAATCCATATAGTTTCTTTACAAATTATAATTTTGCTTCAATGAAGAAGTAAAGTCTAATTATTCTAGAATTAATTAGTTTCACGTTAGTAGCATGTCATCTCACAGGAATCTCACTGCCATAAACGATTATCTCCAGCGCGGAGTTCTTGTCGTAGGTGTCGAGAGAGGCGAGGTCATACAGAGACGAGCACACTGGACCGTAGGCCCACTCCGTGATCTTCCGTGACAGATGTCGGCGCCCCTTAAACTCCCGCTGCACGATGTGCTTTAACAGCTAGTTGACAAATGACAATGAAATCTGTCAAATTACTGTCAAATATGTGTTATTTAGTCACTTGTCTTTGGCAATAAACTCATTTTATTGATCAGCCAAGTCAGTAACAGCACCAGCTAAAATATAGAACAAAACCAAAACAATAAACAAATACATTGTGACAACTATGACTTTAGGTTAAATAAGGTCATGACTATCACTGTAGACTACATGACTATGAATCATGTAGTGTGGTGTCTGATTTAATGCCATGTGCTGAAGGGAAATATCATCTCACATCACATGAGGACTAACCATCTACACAAAATCAGGAACATCCAAAAACAGAACTGACACTTAAGAAATACACACTGCTTCAAACGAATCACTGCTTCAAATAAATACTGGTATTTTGCAAGACATAATGAAGTTGTTTATATTCTTGGACATTAAAAAGTCCCAGAAAAAAAGAAGGTTTACCCCCAGTTTTCCTGTTTTGGCGGCTAATTTGATTGGGGTGAGTCCTTCATTATTTTCAATATCCTCCAGCTTGATCTTGGGGTGAAGGTGGTCAGTTTTGAATAAGATGTGGTCATACATGGCGATGACAAACTCTGTGTTTTTAGGACTGTCATCAGCTATGGACACTAATGCGTGAAGCACTGTGTTTCCATGAGAGTCCTTCTCCCTGACATCCACTGCCTGGTAAGGGTTGTTCATAAGGAAGTCCGCAATGTCTGGCTGATTAGTGCAAGCGGCCAGTGACAAGGGCAGCTCACCTGTGCACAAAATTTGTAAACGATGCAGGTAAGGTACCCACAAAAGTGGGTCAGTAACAATGAGAACATTAAGTAGAATTTGAAAAGGATGTGGATTTAAAATGCTGAATTTCTACTGTATAAATTGTTATCAGAATTATGGGTCATTCCACGAAATCGGTGCCTTTTTGAATATAAACAACAATAATCAAACAGAATTACTACAACAACAAAAAAATTAAATTATTATTAAAATTAAATTATAATGCTATGTATTCTTTCATCAATATTAAAGTCAACTAAATACTATTTTAGATAATTTAAATAATATTTTTATAAGGGTAATTAATATGGGCAATTTGAAGGCAAAATACAAAAATCACATTTGCATTTTGTTCCAAGTATAGTCTCATTGCTGAGCAATGATTTCATGTCAGCTCTGTTATCCTCAATAAAAAAAAACGTTGTAAATAATGGTACATTCCAGTGACATCATCTCTCAACCAGGATCCAACAGTTAAAACACAAGCAAGTTTCTCTCTCTTCTATGTTCTATTTTTGATAATTTATTAGGTTTGACAATGTCAATACGGTTACCATTTTTCAGAGTGTAAATTTAAACAATTATTTAATTTAATATAATCAGTAGTATCTACAAGTAATATCCTTTCAAAATGTACAGCCTGTCCTTTTGTGACCTTGACCTATTAGCTAGAAATGATCAAATTAGCTTGAAATCTTCAAACCTGTTACTGTCAGCCCTGTTACTTTTCAGAGTAACAGGTTTTGACATGTGGGTAACAGGGATGACATAGATTACGTGTCACCTTAACCACACTGTTTTTAAAGGTTATCTGTGTAAAATGCTAACTTTTTTAAAGGTCCCAACTCGCCCCAATCCTGCCATGTTAAATAAAGTCAAACCATTTCAGCAACAAGATCTTGGTCTGGTTTCAGATGATCATAGGAAGATTGAGGCTGCATCCAAAATCGCATATATCCCTACGATATAACAGACAAAAAACAGTAATGCGACAAAAGAAGTATGTCCGAATTCACAGTAAAGAGTAGGCAAAAAGTACCCGGATGACCTACTACTTCCGGGATGATTCTGAAGTGTGCATAAGATGGACACTTTTCCATCCCATGAGGCCACGGGAGAGGATTTATGAATATCAGTGATGCGATGCAACTGACGCTGGTAGGTCACGTGACAATGACAACATGACGAATGTAGATTACATTCATACTACATACATTCATACTATATTGAACACACTCTTTTTGCAGTTGCAAAGTAATTACTTATTCAAAAAAGAGAGTATGCGATTTCGGACACAGCCCAAGATCTTGCATAATAATTGAACCAGATCAGTATATTTGAAGACAAACATATGGACACATGATCTAATTACAATACACATAAACATTAGATCTCTTAGAAAAGTAATATGCTTCACTAATACAACTATGCTAAGTGCAAAACAATGTAATGCAATTAGAAAAGATAAAACTTTATAATATTATGTAAACAAATATGTGCAGTGTATGCTGAAGAATGTATGTCCTGTCATCCCTGTTACTCTGGTCAGTCCTGTAACTATGACATCAATCCAGTTGCTGACATTAATTTCTTAAAAATAGTAAAAGTGATATTTGATATGGCCTTCCAGATTTTTTTTTTCATTGTAACTTCAACTATATTGTATTTTGGTCAAAGCCTTTTTTAAATATCGCTCTTGTAAAAATAGGATCTGAATGACAAATATAAGATTGAAAAAAAATTGAAACAATCCTGGTGAAAAGAGAAACTAAAATACTCCTCATATATGTGAAAACGATTACACAGTTCTAATGAAAAGTATATAGTAAGGATTGTGTCTGTAACAGGGATGACAAAAACGTCAAAATATGAGGTAGAAAAAAAGTCATAAAATAAGAAATTATATAGCCTGAGATATACAATACAATTTCTTGTCTTTTGTCCACAAACTGTCCTCATTTTATGGATTTTTACAAAATGTTGATTAAACTTATTTAATATTTTTATTTTTCCAAGGTGAAACGGCACCGATTTCGTGGAATGACCTTTATAGTAGTCTTGCAAAAGTTTAACCATACCCTTAGACCTACCAAAATAAAAGCAAGTTTTTTGATTGGGCTGAAAGAATTTCCCACAGGCTTTAGCATGGACGTCAGCCCCTTTTTTAACCAGCATCTGTACAAATTTTGCACTTCTCCGTTCAATTGCCACATGGAGTGCTGTCTGACCTGTCTCAAAGAGATCAGTCGATAACATAAAAAATGGATGGGTTGGACATGTTAAATAGGATCAATATTCTGTTCATTTATAAAAAAATAAATGACTAAAGTTGGCTAATATAAAACTAGATCTAATAATAATTGCGCTAATAAAAACATTATGTAATATGAAGCTATGGCTCTGACCTTTGTAGAAACTGTCTGTGTAAGCAGCATTGACAAAAAATTTTAAATCTCCCAATTTCTCTGCAATTTCCAGCAGATGTTCAATAGTGTCATTCTCGCCTTCCCTCAAATTTAAAAGTGCTTTCAGCAGGGCTGTCTTTCCATTGGACTTATCTAAAGATGATATAAAAACAGATGTTTCATTATTTAATAAATATCTGTCATGAATTCACAGTACTCTTCAAACTTCAAAAGTTTGGGGTCAGTAAGATTTATTTATTTATTTACCAAAGAAAGAAAGAAATTTATTCAGAAAGGACCCATTAAATTGATCAAAAGTCACGATTTTCATAAGTTTGCACAGTGAGCACTAAATAAGCATATTACAATGATTTGTGAAGGATCACGTGACACTGAAGACTGGAGTGATGACCGCTAAAAATTCAGATCTGCCATCACAGGAATAAATTACATTTTAAAATATATAGAACCGTTATTTTAAATTGTAATAATATTTCACAGTATTACTGTTTTTACTGTATTTTTGATCAAATAAATGCAGCCTTGGTGAACATAGCAGACTTCTTTCAAAAATCTTACCAACCCCAAACATTTAAACGGTTGTGTATTTGTTGATGAATACAATTACATTGAGAGTCGGTGAGCCGTTTCATGTTTTTGTGCAGGTACTGATGTAAACCCTGCAGTTTAGACACATTGCCACTGGACACGGCATCAAACAGCCTCTTGAGGGTAAACCTCTCACTGTCCTGCTGAGCTGGTTCCTCTTTTACTTTTCTGATTCCCCTGTGTGCAGAATGTATCTGATAAAGAAAGGATTTCTCACATTATGTTAATCGTCCACTCTGGTGTGGTTTAAGGAGGCCGGCTTACCTGTCAAAGTGTAGGTTCAATTTAATTGTGTGTGCAGGCTCATCGGTCTCATCCAGGCAATTAGAATCCATGGGCCTCTTGTCCTTTGAGGCACCTTTCTTCATCTGTTTGGCCTTTTCCCTTTGCTCCTGTGTCAGGTCATCTGTCTCCAGGAAGAATGTGGGGCTGCTGTCTCTTGATTTACTCATAGTGATGTCTTCCTAGTCATACAGCAGAAATTAAAGCTGTAGTGATATCATTCACAGATACAGGACATTAGGATTCTATTTCAGACCATTTCAGATAAGCTCTAAGAAATGTGAGCCTGACTACAACTGCCGATTTTACGTTTATAAGCAAATGGGACGGTCTTACACTAATTAGCTTTAAAATGCGGAATTGTGCTTAATGATAATTCACTTAATGTTTCTAACTTTGTGACCAGTCAAACTGATTTTTGATGTAATGTAGAATAAGAGCTGCTTTTGTAAGAGTAGAAGCTGCTTGATTGTTATAATGGATCATCATCACATTGTTTAAACACCACTAAAAGAGGAAGGGGTCACAAATGATCCAAATGGAAACTCTGTGACAGTTGAAGGAAATGCAGATTTCTGCAGATGCTATTGTTATATAAGTTTGTGTATCTCATTGCAAGAACTCTTCAAAAAATAAAAAATAAAACAACTAGAATAATTAAGGAGATGTGATGATATGCAGTTCAGCCTGTGATTTTGAAAGAGATTAATGTCCAAAGAAACAAGCTACTAACACTCAGCTCTGTTTTGACGGGGTTCCTAAGCATACATGTGATCAATCTTGTGACATTTTACCATGCATCTCTCACAAAGCTTGTTTTGTATTTCAAAGACAGTTCTTTTTTAAATCAATCAGTTTCTTTAAAGATGACAAGACCAAAAATGTTGCTTTTATAAGTCAATGTGACATTTTAATAACAGATGACAGCACTAATTATGCTTGGATGCTATTTCAGTGATAGTTCTTTCTGCTGAGACCATTTAAATTACACTTCATTTATAAAATAATTCTATTAACAGCTAGCGCTGTGAGAATAAGAGCTAATGGATCATCTTAAAGTGCCTTTTTAGTTTAAACACCAGTTAAAAGAGGAAGGAGTCAAAAACAATTCAGATGGAAACTCTGTGACAGGAAGTCACAGTATCAAAGGAAATACAAAATTAGTTTCACTAGTTACATATGATTTGAACATTTGATCATATTTGTATCTCACATTAAATAATGACCCAAATTGCTAAAATAATTAGGGAAATGTAATTATGGATTAATGTTTAATGTGCATATCAAAGTAAAGAAAGGGTGTCAAGGATGCTAGAGATATTTTTAAATCATGAAGAGAATTGCGCATATTCGATGCGTATGTGAAAGCAGACTCCTCGATGGGTGAGGCAGCACAGATTGTTAAAGAGTCTAACAGATATTTGATGGACAAATTATATGAGTTAATGTTGTTTTACGCTAGATGATGACCTAATATGCAATTGTAAGATGCTGGATAGTCTTACTTAGTAAAATAGTATGACATGGCCTCTCCATAAATGGGTTCAGATAATATTACAGCGGAAACTGTACATTACACAGACACCCTCTTTAGATCATCTCACTTATTACATTATGAGATTTAGCACTTACACAGCATGTTTTGGGTTGAGCAAAATAATAAAATAAAAGGTCAATAAAAGGTTATTGTCAGCTTTAAAAAGACAAACATTAAAACTGATATGCAAAAATATGGACTAAAGTAAAAAAAAAAAAAAAAAAGTTTTAATGATTTACATTAGCAAAATATGCATTGATTTAAATATTGCTGTAAACTGTTTATTATGTAAGAGTCTTACTTAGTAAAATAGTATGACATGGCCTCTCCATAAATGGGTTCAGATAATATTACAGCGGAAACTGTACATTACACAGACACCCTCTTTAGATCATCTCACTTATTACATTATGAGATTTAGCACTTACACAGCATGTTTTGGGTTGAGCAAAAATAGTCACGCATGTTATTGTCAGTTTTAAGAAGACAAACATTAAAACTGATCTGCAACAAAATGGACTGAAGTAGATCACAAAAACATCAAAAAATTAAATAAACCAAAGGCATTTGGCAGCAAAAACCAACTTTACAGGTTTTAATATGATTTACTACACTAGCAAAATCTGAATTTTTAAAAATATTGCCCTAAATTATTTAATACGTAAGAGTAAAGTATGAAACATTTGTACTCACCAATTAATTTCTGTTTTTTAATCCGTCAGATGAAGTATCCAGTATCGATGAGCTTGATTCCTTGAGCACAATAACTTGCTCTCTCTCTCTCTCTCTCTCTCTCTCTCTGTCAGAGAGGAAGATATGTTTTGAGGTTGCTGAGAGCCTTACAGAAAGGTGGGTTGTATTGATTCTTTGAGTATGTTGTTACGTATGTTTTGCCATGTCCACGCCTGGTTGTAGCTCATTTATAATCATCCATATACCTTACAATGCACTGGAAGTCATCAAGCTCCTTCTTAAAATGCTTCATTCTCATCTAGCAACACTATATTCTACTACATATCTTAACTATCCAAATGATCAATTATTCATGTGCTGGAATGCATTTAATTTTGAATAAGTACCTCTGAGCAGCACATGTTTGGTTTGAAGCAGCATTCAGGTCACCTACACTTATCTGTTGAAACTGTTCTGTTGAGCAATTTCACCTTCTTAGCGTGCAGAGTTTCCTGTATGACACTGGAGGACTGTGGCAGAGTAAAGCGGTTTTGGCGCATGCATACTGGTTTGGGTGCATAGATTATGTGAACAAAATGAAACAGCATGCAGTCGATTCTTGGTGCACGCGTGGTAAAGAACTTGCTCCTTTGAGGTGAAGTTGGTCTGTACCTCCTTTTCCTCTTTTGAAACAAACAGAAATGTCAGTTACAGCCATGTGCAGCACATGAAATATACCACATAAGCTCAATTATAACAAATGATGAAAATAAATACTTAAAATGTGATGAGATATTCCAACTGTTTATTAACATTTGAAATGCCACTGAACATTGTAAACAATATTTTGACATTTGAAGGCTTTGTTCAGTCATTTAATGGAATTCAGAAATATTCTTAAATACATATTGTTTTGTATTTTACAACACAATGGTTTTGTATTGCACTCAACAACAAGTGAGTGTGTAAATTGAACAATACATAAAGTTGACCCATGTTAGTCAATAATAATAATATAGTATTAAATTAAAATTAATTATTTTTTTAAAAATTGATCAATGATACAGTTTTAAATTATTTTTAAATTAAATACACTTATGTACAAAGTGTGAATATTTATACATTTTAATACAGAAAAAAAAAACAGCCCTACCAGCATTCTGGCAGGTCAGATGTCTCAGAGACGTTATCTTAAATGTTATATCTTATGTTTGGTCATTAAACACCATGGCAACTCCAACAGCTGAGTCAACATCTTTTCCGTAGACTACAGGAAATGTAAACACTCTCTCTGCTTCCTGTTGCAGAACTGTGTTACATGACAGAGCGCTGCCACTGCCAATAATACACCTCACTCCAGCGGCCTGCAGGCTCTGAGGGGGCATCATAGTGGCCATGTTTTCAATAATACCCCTGCACACAGCACGAGTCACATGACCCAGAGAGAGGTTAGAGGGCGAGATTTGGGAGACACTGGCACTGGAAGTGGGGTAATGCCGCTCTCCTAGAAGCGCTGTGGTCACGGTTAGATCAGTGTTAGGCTGTGCCAGAGCAGACTGGATTAGTTGGGAGTAGATTCTGGACTCATTAACTTCCAATCCTACGACATACAAGAAATACATTATTATGATAAGAATACACCTGAGGACCAAAAACATGCAACAAGAAGACTATTATAGTAAAATATAAAAAGGTCACACTTGATTTCAGAATAATAATAAATGTAGAAACTGAAAAATTGTTGATTTACCAAATTCTTTCATCCACGAGTCCAGCATTCTGACAAAGGTGGCCATGACATTGCCTCCATTTAGTGATGCAGCCACTGCCAGGTAAGAGCCGTGCAAGTATGGGAAATAAGCAATAGGAGAGAGGGGGTCTGGAGAATTTGGAGGGGTGAACTCTGCAGGCATGCTGAACGTCAGCTGGGCTGAAGTGCTCATATTCAGCACTAGTGATTTAACATAAGTCACAATTAATTTGTGCATGATATGCCTTATGTACACTACCATTCAAAAGTTGTCAGTGACATGTTTTAAAGGTGACATATCATGAAAATCGGACTTTTCCAGGTTTTAGGCTAAAATCAGGTCCCCGGTGCATCTACCAACCAAGGAAATGAGAAAAAGATTAACCCAGTAACTTTGTTTTGGTAAGCCTTTTTCTGCAAGCGTCTGAGAAAACGAGCGCGTCAGATTTCGCTCCCTTGGTGACGTGGCAAAGGGATCTCATTATAATATTACCGGCCCTAATTTGTAAGTTTCCAGATGTTTTTTAGCAGGTACGAGCTGTAATGGCGCAGCTCTATTCTGGAAAAGGGGGCGGGGAGCAGCAGCTCATTTGCATTTAAAGAGACAGGCACGAAAAACAGCTTGTTTCTGCTTCCACTCAAAATAGGCATTTTCAAAATGATATAATAAAAGATCTGTATTTTGAGTATTTTGAGCTGAAACTTCACAGACACATTCTGGGGACACCAGAGAATTATATTACATATTGTAAAAAGTGGCATAATATGTCTCCTTTAATGTTTTTGAAAGAAGTCTCTTATGCTCTACAAGGCTGAATTTATTTTATCAAATGTACAATTAAAAAAGTAATATTGTGAAATATTATTGCAATTTTAAAAAAACTGTTTTCTAGTATAAAATATATTAAAATGTAATTTAGTCCTGTGAAGACAAAGCTGCATTTTCAGCAACTTCAGTAATCAGTCTAATATGCTGATTTGCTGCTTAAGAAACATTTCTTTTTATTATCAATGCTGAAAACAGTTTTGTTGTCTAATGTTTTTGTGGAAATGTGATACTTTTTAAAGATTCTTTAATGAATAGAAAGTTCAAAAGAATAGCATTTATCTGAAATAGAAATCTTTTGTAGCATAAAAGTTTTATTGTCGCTTTTGATCAATTCAATGTATCCATGCCCAACAGAACTATTAATTTCTTTCAAAAAAAAATAAAAAATCTCACTGACCCTAAAGTTTTGAATGGTAGTGTATAAGTGAAAATGCTAGTCCACAACACTGATGTGGACACAGCATAAAGTACATATCTTAAATATTTGTACAACGCATCAGAAAATATATCTAAATGTATTTGTGAACAGGAAATGTGTTAAAATATGAAATCCAGACCATCTGTAGATGGTGGATAACACCTTTGACAAAATGTGTAAAACATTTTATGGCTGAACAAAGACAAAATTTAAAAAAAATAAAGAAGTTAGGTTGAAGTATTTAAAATAACATACAGCCTTCTTTTTTACTTAAGCTTAAGTTAAAAAAAATCTCTCTTTTACAAGAACCCATAAAACAGCTAGTGTCTCACAGCAGCCCTGCCCTTGAGAGAGGACGCTGAAATCTGAGTACAAGGTCTGCCATGTCTAAATGTGCTCACTGCGGTCGCATAACATCTCCACCTGGAGGTCGAACTAGTAAACTCAAACTGACCTCAGGATGAGTATACAGTACAATGATTGTTGTTTGTAGCTGAGCTGACAGAACTACAACAGTCTGACTGTGGGTCATTTACAGACCAAGTCACTGATATTAGGAAAACATAATATGCTGTATGCAAAGCTAAAAAGAGGCATCTAATTCACACTATACCTGCATCTCCTTTGTCAGTCATGCAGGAGTAGACACTACACTGGAAGTCTCCCAGCGCCGCCCCGACCGCTGTGTGAGCAGGGATGCCGTACCACTCAGAGGAAGTGTGACCAGCCACAGCTCCGGACTCCACCACGACAGGCAAGAGCTGCACAGGGAAACATGCATCCTTCAGACTGGAGGACATAGAAATACACAGTCAATTCATGATAACGCAGTCATTCAGTTCAACACAGAGTAAGTGTAATATTAAGCATCATAGTTGATTAGTTAGAATTCCCATGTCAAGAGTAATGACCCATTTGCACCAAAGATGATAACAATAATGATAACTACAGGGCTTGGACAAAATAATGTGAACAACTAGGAAATAGGCAATATTTTACCACCATTTGCCTTTAATACAGACTCCAATGGAATAGATTTATACTTCTGAATAGTCTCCAGTTGAATGTCGTCTATCAGAACATCTGCCAGTTGCTTTAAAAATGTTAAAGGAGGGAATCTGCTTCTCACTTATCGCTCTAAATCTTGATTTAAAACGTTATAAACCACAATCTCTAGCTTCCACTAACTGTCTAACTAACATGTGTTCACAAGAGAGTGGTGTTCCAGTGGATGATGTAGGATGTAGGCGTAGTGTAAGCTCCGGTGAGAAGTGAGGAACGCGGAAGTGCAGAGGAGAGTGCAAAACAAAACACCAGTCACGAATTAGAAGTACAAAACGAGAATTAGTAAAAAAAAATGTGGGAGGATTTTGATATAAGCCAAGAGGAGACTGGTTTTCCTTTGCTGTAAACAAAACTTGGTTATTACGAGACTAGCATATTCTCACCGGCGTTGATGCTGGAACGCCACTCTCTCGTGAACGCGTGTACGACAGTTAGGACAAATAATTACGATTTATAAAGTTTTAAATATGGATAATTTTCTAACACAAATGCATCGCTTCACTGCAGAAGGCCTTTATTAACCCTCCAGAGCCATGTGGAGCATGTTATGATGGATGGATGCACTTTTTTGTGCTTCAAAATCTCAACCTCCATTCACTGCCATTATAAAGCTCGGAAGAGCCAGGATATTTTTTATATAACTCCGACTGTATTTGTCTGAAAGAAGAAAGTCATATACACCTTGGATAGCTTGAGAGTGAGTAAATTATAGGGTCATTTTCATTTTTGGGTGAACTATCTCTTTAAAGCAGCAGACAACATAACTCTGCACGCCCTTGAAGGAGTGGAATCATGACCTTCATAAAATATATATTTGTTTCTTCTTGAATAATTATTAATCAAAGTTATTAATATTGAATGAAGTTATTAGTTACTATATATTATTAGTTAGACATCAAAATGTATGTATCTGAATATCTATCTTCCTTGTAGTTGAAGAGTTGGAATGTGTAACAGTAAGCTTTTATATGCTGAGTTCTGTATTCTGCTCTCAGGGTCATGACTGCCATGTCACAGAGGTTATCGGGACCTCCCATTTATGTGACCAACGAGTGATTAGAACATTTATGCATGTTAGAAAATAAGTGAATATGCCATTTGCTGCTCTCATTGTGTGCGTGTAGTGAAACATATTTGATAAGATTCAGGGCCCGGCAACCTTGAAGTGCAGATAAGTGTTCTCTGCGTATGTGTGCAAGTGTTTGTCTTCGCAGATTTGGAGACAGCCCTAGGAGGAAACTGTCATTTGCCGTCACCCTGATGTCCAGGGTATCAGATATACATCTCTGGAGAGACCTCTGATCACTTGTCACCAAAATAATCACTAGAAGATATGCTCCAATTTTTATGTCCATGTGTGGAGATTTTCTAAGTTTATCTATGTATTGACGTAATTATTGACCTCTGTTAGAGCATAACTACTGGTGTCTTGAACAAGTACACAGAGCGGCCTATGAACGAACTCCATCGCGAGTATTGAAGCTGACTTCTGCGGATGAAACCACAAACTATTTTCTTCAGTAAATTCTTCTCTAATTGTTCGCATCTCTGACTCCTGGACTTCATTCATCAGACCTGGTCCTTGGGTTTTAACTGTAAATTCCCCTACACCCTATAATAAACTGAACATTATCGTCCATTGATGTGAATGCTAATATAGGTATTTTTCTAGTTATTGTTCTTAGTGTAAACTGGAGGGCTGCAAAACGATTAATTAATTGTTTTCATACTATATATAAATATTTTGTATATAAATCTAACATATTTTTCCTTAATATATACATGTGTGTGTATTTATATATACATAATAAATATACAGTACACACAAATATAGTATGTAAACAAAAACATTTATTTTGAATCGATTAATCATTTTGCAGCCCTAGTAAACTGCTCTTAAAACAAATATAATATCTAACTTGACTCACATTTGTGTGTTCCATTTGTTGGTGGTTGTGTTGAAGTAGCCCCAGCTGGCAGCATTTTGTCCAGTCATGACACATTTGTCAAGGTTACACAGCATGGAGACCACATAGTCTTGGATGGTGCCTGCATCACTGAAACCTGACAGGAACTCCGGCCTGATTCAGTGACATTTCATAAAAAAAAACACTATTTCGGTGCAAAACAATTGGATTTTTGCTGAAATCATTTAGTCTTAAATCTTGAGTGGAATTCTACCTGTGTTTCATGTACCAGAAGATGGTGGCACAACCAAAGCCAGTGGCCACGCTCAGGTGGGAGTCTGGTTTGGGTAAGGAAGACAGGAAGTCAGCACTGCAGCGCCCGTCCTGCCAGGTGATCAGCTGACTGACGTCTTTAGGAATGAATCTAATGATTTCATGATCTTCACTTAGCCATTCACAGCCTAAGAGAGACGAATGACAGTATATTTACCGATACCATCCCAATTTTTTATTTATGATTGAAGATGAGTGCCTTCACCACAGTGTCACACCACAATGCAAGAAGCATCAAACATGCTTTCAGTAGTTGTTCAATGTTAACCTGATTTAGATTTCCACAACACAATGCCATGCATTTGTCCACATACTCCAATGCACTTGACTTTTTTCAGCTTGTCTTTAGGTAAAGCTCCCATGCACTGGTCCAGAGCGGAGATTATTAGTGAAGGGTCCTGCTCTTTGGCCTGATATCAACAATAAATAAAAAGTATGTTTCAAAGAGCGCATTAAACAACACTAAGAAAAAGTACCATACATACACAGGGTAGATTACTTACAAATTGTAGTCCGTTTCTTATTTCAAATTACATTATGAAAATTGTAATTAGTAACGTATTCTATTATATTACACATTTAAATAATATAATAACAGGATACTCTAGTTCCATTTTGATATAAAAATACAAAGAGAAAGAAAATATACTTGTTTTCTACGACATGAAATGCATTAAACATGACAATACGTCAGGTTTTCCCAAACGTGTTGGTAGGCTGATAAAGTTAATTATTAGTTAATGTAAATATACATTATTAGTTAATGTAAATATAACTTTTAAAAATTCAATGAGACAGAGAGAGGTTAATTTTTCAGTATCTTTTGAGTGCCACCTTTTTAATCAAAGTGCTGTTACCTACATGAATGTCGGAGGTGCTGCTGGTATCAGAGTTTGTAGGGAAACTCTTACTGTCTGTGACTGTCTTTGACTGCGCATCCAGCAGCACCACTTTAACTGACGTGGTGCCCAGATCCATGCCGAGAACAAAGCCAGCAGAACAACTCAGTGATACCGCCATGATCTCTAAAGACATCACTACTTTCGTGCAGACGGAGGAAGAAATGTGCAGTATGCGTCATTTAACTAAATATCATAGTTTCTAGCTGTCCACGATCCGAACTAGCGATGTCTGGACTGGTGAACGAGTCGTTGTTGTTTTGAATCTTTTCAATGAATAAGTTGAACCGGATCACAAACCGTTCTGAATTTGATTCGGGCTGAATAATTAGTTCGGTTAGAGCGAACCGAGAGCAAAGTCCTCCGAGAGCCGTCTTTTGATAAACATTTATTAATAAGACTTATCAATAAGAAACAAAAACTTTAGAAAAAAGTCAAACAATATGTATATAGTATTTAGTTAAGTTGTAACAGTTAAATACAGAGCAAAAATTACAGTAAGTATTTAACAGTTGAGAGAATATGTTATAAAGAACAAAAACAAACAATAATAATACAAAAGAAACCTATAAAAGAAACAAACCAAAAGCAAATTTTTGGGTGGTTACTTACATGCCGTAACGCAAAAGAATCATTACTGAGTTCACATCAGCTCTCTGAAGCGAAGAGTTTGAAAGAACCGATTCTTGCAAATGATTCCTACTTTCGATCACCGTTTTGAGCCTTCGCGGATCCCGTAGAGTGGGTTAAAAGTAAATATATTAAAACTGTAACATTGCTTAACATTTTACAAATAAATGTGCATTAATAGACATGCCATTGCTTGGAATTAAGTACAAGTTGGTCATGAAGATTAAATAAAAATTTGAATTTGATTTTCATTAAAAATCCCATGATGCGTAGCGAGAAAATGGCTGACCGAGAATGACACACGCTGTGTTTTATCCAAAACTTGTCATATTTTCCTGAATATTACATTCCTTATTGAAATACAGACTTAATCGCATAGCTTATGATGTTTGAGCGTTTAATGTAAACGATGCTTTCTTGAATCACGGAGGCGGAAGCGTGATTTGTGTTTATCATTATTTTGATCCTAACGGTAAGTGGAGGAGGGGATTTAACGTCAATCTAAAGCAGGGGTGCCCAAACTCGGCCCTGGAGGGCCGGTGTCCTGCAGAGTTTAGCTCCAACCCCAATTAGACACAGCTGAACCAGCTAATCAAGCTCTTTCTAGGCATACAAAAACTTCCTGGCAGGTGTGTTGAGGCGAGTTGGAGCTAAACTCTGCAGGACATCGGCCCTCCAGGACCGAGTTTGGGCACCCCTGATCTAAAGTATGTTTCTTTCGGCTTCAAATGATGATCTGTGTTTCACATCTCTACTGTTTTGTCTCTCAGCGTGTTTTTAGCATCACAGCATGGCCACGGTAGCAGCCAAACGCGAGGGACCGCAGTTCATCAGCGAGGCGGCCGTCAGAGGAAACAACGCTGTGCTGGACTACTGTCGCACGTCCGTGTCCGCGCTCTCCGGGGCCACGGCGGGCATCCTCGGCCTGACCGGACTCTACGGCTTCGTCTTTTATTTCCTTGCTTCTTTCCTGCTGTCCTTGCTCCTGATTCTCAAAGCCGGTCGCCGGTGGAACAAGTGCTTCAAATCTCGACGTCTGCTCTTTACCGGGGGCCTCGTGGGCGGCCTGTTTACTTACGTGCTGTTCTGGACTTTCCTCTACGGAATGGTGCATGTGTACTAAAGGGACTCGGACAGTACAGCAGCCGCTTAGGTGTAGAAAGATGATAAGAGATGCCTCAGGGTAGAGAGTGCTGATTGATGTACCACAGGTTTTGTCCGTGAGCTTACTAATGTTTAGCCAATAAAGCTTTAAATGTTTTCAGAGTACTAATTGCATTGAAATTTAGATATTTAAAAATGGTGTGTCGTCGTATTCTTTCCTCTTGTAATTTAATATTTTCCTAATGCTCATTCCAGGGCAAAGCTGGGTTTGGATCTAGTATGACAGCCCAACAGGGAAACTAATTTGTTTTCAGTTTGCTTTCTGTGTATGATGCATAACACTCTGAACTCCAGGCGTCAATCAGAACTATGTAAAAACACAATACCAACTTTAAACTGTATAAATCACATTGTTTTATTTCAGATAATAAATCATTCACCTCATGGATTAAATTGTGGGGTTTCTTAAAGTACATGATGTTAAATCATTTTTTGAATAAGCTACTAATCGTCGTATAGTGTGCCTATCATTGGTGTTGTTCTGTAAGTGCTCAAGGGTGTTTTACAAATTATTAGTGTTGTGTAATTTCAATTAAAATATCAGCTTGATTTTTTTTTTTATTCAGACTGAACAGGTACAGTCACGTTTATGTGTCCTCAGTGCTTGAACTGTGCAAACATTTGGAGTTGGTACAGATTTTGAATGATATTGAAATACTCTCCAAAGTTGCATTTATTTGATCAAAAATAGAGTAAAAACATTAATGTTGTGAAACATTACAATTAAAATAACAGTTTTCTATTTTCATATATTTTAATGTCACGTGTTTCTGTAATGGCAGATCTGAATTTTCAGCAGTCATTACTCCAGTCTTCAGTGTCACATGATCCTTCATAAATCAATCTAATATACTGATTTAGTGCTCAAGAAAATATTTTGTCAACATTATACATTTAGAAGAATTATTTTATTGAATTCATTCTTTTAAAAAAAACTAACTACTGACCCCAAACGTTTGAATGGTAGTGTAGATCTTTATTTATTTTTAATTTTTCTTCTTCTTTTTAAAGATTGTACTCTTTTCACATTTACTCAAGATGAAAGTAATGCAATGACCCAAGCATTTTTTGTCAAATATTTTAACATTTATTCAACCTTGGTTTGACAATTTTTGATGTCAGGCCATATTTATATTAAATAATTTATATTTATCTTATTGCAAATCCTTCGTAACAAAAACTTCCATTGCCATTTAAAACACTAGGAGAGCATAACAACACTGGCAGTATTCCTCTTTGGTATGACTGAGCATAGACCCGCTATAATACCTCCTTTCATACATTCACAGTAAATCCAATGAGATTCAGCATCAAAAAAAATCCTCTACTGGTTGTGTGGTGTTCTCAGGGTGGAAACGGGAGAAATGGTCTGTTTTTCTGCAGCGTGCTGAGTCCTGAATGACACTGTGCCCTGCGGCCTTCTCTCAGAACTGTGGGTTTTGAGTGCTGAGCTTGTGGGCTGGATCTGTCTCTCTGGGTTGTTATTGGGCTGACATGACACTGATGTCAATGGCTGCATCTCTGTTCCCTGTTTCTCCTCTCTCTTGTGCCGCCCATCTTGGCGATGATGACCGTGGTGTCTCACATGCTTTCTCTCTCTCTGCTTTCCAGATTGCTTTCTGTGGGGGCAAATAGTATATAATAATCCACTGCATCTTTCTAATCTTCCAAGTAAACCTTTTTAAGAAGTCGACAAGACACACTTACTTTGTGACTGCCTCAAATTTAGTCTCTCGGTAGAAGGAGCTTTTGCTCATCATGTAGAGCAGAATCATGTCGCAGACAAAAACCCCCTGTGAAATGAGATGACAAGAATCTCAGAAAGATTTTGTTTTGTGCCTTTTATACTTCAACTATTAGCGACATCATCTGTAACTAGCTTATATACTCACAGCACCCATTAAAGCAAGCCCAGAGCCAATGCTGATCACTGTAGGAATGATACTGAATCTCCCAGCCTAAAAACAGATAAACACCATCTTTTTATCATTTCACCATAACCCTAATGAGAGTAATCTTTAAGAATTTTAAGTAAAATGCTTATTTCTTACCTTTCCATTAACTAATATATCAAAGCGAATGCCATACACTTTAAATAGATTGCGATAGGTTTGACCTGCTGCATCATTGTAGTATCGAGCAAATCTTGATAAAGAGAGAAACATGTCAGTCAATGTAATGATACTATTTCAAATCTAAATGTTTTAAACAAAAACAAAAAGTAAAGGTTTAAGCTATTTTATTGTAAAAAAAAAAAAATAATAATAATAATACTAATTATAGAAAACTAGCCACTCAGAAATCCTCTTTGTCAGTGAATCATTTTTTTCGTTCCGCTTTGCTGGCATGTTTTAGCGGGTGGAGTTTTTAAGAAATCATGTGCGGTTAGCAAAACAACTGAAATCACTTAAGAGAACCTTGTTTTATGAGCTAAAATCAATAAATCAGAGCAATACCTGAAGTTGTAACCAGAAATGGCAGAGTTCTGGGAATTTTTCGAGGAATCTAAGCGTGTGAAGCTATATTCAGGGTTACATTGAGATTCATCTTTATCCAAATCACAATTCCATTCAATTCCAACTCCAATTGAACCGCCCTGTGTGTGTATAGAAAACAATTATATCAATTAATAAAATTACCCTCTGCATTAAATATAGGGCATCATGATATTCCTTTGCCGTTCTGGCAATTCATTTTTCCAATCTAAGTCAATAAAGTTTTCTTTTTTTAGCATAAATAAATAATGCATTCATATATAAAATAGTGTATTCATATCAATGCCAGCTGACACTTTTTCTAGAAAATATTGGCATACAGTGCAAACTTGTTTAGAATGTTCAATCCATAACTGATGCTTCACAGGTCACTTTTTTGGGGGGTTAAAAATTGTACTTGTGGTATCTTTCTTTCTTTTCTTTCCCCTCTCTCTCTCTCTTTTAAATAAATAAAAAAATGTATGATACTTTGTTATATTTTGATTATATGCAGACAAATAAGACATTCACACATAAGTATGGCTTAAGTGTCCAAATACTTTTTGGGGAGCCTGGATCAGCCTTTGTATATTATTTACATGAGCATCTTTTTAAAAGAATCCCCAAATCATATACTAAAAAACATTACTGTCTTAATGTGGACAAGTTAGGATATGATCTCTCTTTGATTATACATTGAGCTGCTGCTTGAACATCAACTACCAGTGTGTTTGCAATGGTGGAGACATTGTTTTAACTTGTTGTGTCGTTTGAAGCACTTGCCTTTGTTGCCAAATCCTGGAAACTGTATCCAGTCCAGTTAATCACATCTCCCACAAGAAAGATGGGACAATAGGGATGATGGTCCTTATCATATCTGCACATCTTCAGATATGTGCTGTTGGTGGTAGGCAGGACGTTCGATCTTCAAGTGGGGGGAAAAAAAAGTAGAAGCAGTATCTGAAACCGCTCATACAATTTGCTTGATCTACAATGTGATGACTTTGCAGAGATCATGCCAGTAAGGACAGAGGAACAACTGTCACTCTGTCAGTGAAACAGGCAAGGCACAGGATAGCAAGATAGTAAGTCTCAGTTCAGGCACCACACGCTGAGCTGGTATAAATAGAGATGAGTAAGCGAGAGATATTCAGAGCAGCTTGTGCTGTCGTGCTGTGCCATCAGTATCCAAACATAACGCTTCATTATGAGCAAGCGAGTCTGCTCTTTCACACCGCTACATGGTGGGAGATTTAGAGAACTTTGTATATAGCATTTGTTTAGTATTTGTTTTTCTCTTTATTTTTGGTATATTGCAATGACAGCTCAGTTTAGATTAGTTTGTGTGCTCATTTAAAGGGATTGTACTGGCTTTTAAATAACAGCTTGCCAGTTGACACTGTATTTAAACCATAGAAATGATCCTGTCTATGCACTTGTGAGTGAACTATGAACTTTATTATTCTGCAGGAGTTTGAAATGACAACAGAACATCCTGTGCTGACACAGAAACAAACCTGTTTCAATGCAGCATGTAAAACATCCAAACAAGAAAGACGGGGGGGGAAATACGGTTATATTTGTATGATACTAGATAGTTAGTTACTGAGTGGGTGTCCATATCGCACAAACTAGAATTGCTTGATATGATCTACAGATTTCATGAGGAAGGGTTTTAACAGCAGCATCCTGTGGGGGTGAAGAGGTTTTAAGCATTTTATAGTTGCTCCACCTAAAATTCAGACGGTGCTTTGCAAAGGAAATAACATGCAAAATATTACGCTGTAGAAAAACTAGTTGAAAAGCTTAAATAGACTATTGCATGTTAGTTCAGTTCTATCATGCACAGAGATGAGTATAAAGAATGAACATATTAGAAGCTTCAATCACTTATTAGGTCACTAAATGCATTTGCAACAAGTCACGGCCCATATATATATATATACACACACATACACATACATACATATACACATACACATACATACATATACATATATACATACACATACATATATATATATATATATATATATATATATATACTGTATATATACAGTGTGTATATATATATATAGATAGATAGATATTTTTTTAAACATACTTATTTAGTTTTAGAAAAGTGAGAACATTTATTCTGCAGCCTTCAATAAATAAACACGCTGACTTGATGCCTCTAGGCTTGACTTACTTGGAGAAGGCAAATTTTGGAAACTTGATGAAGTTCTTTACATAGATCGTGAAGTTTTCTGCCTTTGCCAGCATTGGCTCCCTGTTACAACATTTGAAACATTACAGGTACAATAATGTTTTTTTTTCTTCAAATAGTTTCATATAGGCATGGAGAGCGAATAATAGTGCAAAAAGGTGAGGTAGATGTACAGCAACTGAACATGAATTGAAAGAAATTGGTACAAAACTGTTTTCTTACAATGGTGTCTGGCCATGCTCAACAGGGCACCAGGCATGAATCTCACACGTTCCTGTGTCGTTTATACAGCGACTTGTCTTCACTCCTGAATAAACAACAATAAAATGTAGTCCTTTTAAAGCTCAGGAATTTAAACATGCCAGTGGATCGTAGTATAACACAATGTAACATATTTTTTTTAACAAGAATCTTGCACAACACAAAGGTTGTCCTTTTATATAACTTCAGGCATGCAGTTGTAAGGGAACAAAAGTCTTGGTATTTCATTTAGGTTTTGTGCTTACCATGGCCTGCTATGACAGATTCCCCTTCCACACATTCATTGTCATAAGTACATAAACCATCTGGCACTTTAGGACTCTGAAATAAGTAAAATGAACCAAACATATACAACAAACTCAACAAAATACTACATACATACAACAAAAGTGGTTTTAAAATGTACTGAGATCAAAAACTTCTATACGAATACAGCTCTCTAATTGAGAGACAGTACTACTCTTTTCAACAGATGCCTCATATGTTTGGTTGCACAATTTGTGTTGGGAATAACAAAATAAAACAACAACCTGTCTCTTACCTCAGGGCAGTAACCCAGCTTTTGGTTGGGTGTCACTACATAATTTGTCACAATAAAGAACACTCTGTCCCCCTGTTTGTAAAACAATTAATAAATAAATAAAGACATGTTCTTGCAAAAGACATTTTAAACAGCAAATTAACTGATCAGAACACTGATATTTGTGTCAAATGTGATGCTCTCACTTCAGCTTGTTTTCCACAGAACCAACAAGCTTTTGGTTCTTTTCAGTCTTTATTTCTTAAAACTTCTTCCATCTAAACAATCTTCATCTGTCATCTAACAAAAGGCCGAAAGCTGTTAATTTAGAGTACTACTAATATGAAGATAACGAAAATAGATGTTTCACTGTGTAACATGATTAACATAATTGACTAACTAAATGTTTAGTGTTCAAATTCAAAGCAAAAGATGTGTGTCACGTCAATATTTGTAGGAATATCCATTATCAAATACATAAAACAGATTTTGAGAAAGACTGTTAACAGGTGGTTTTCAAATAGATTTCTTCCAAAGCGAATATACAGGAAAGAGGTGTATTTACTTGTGGGGGAATGACATAGTCCTCTGCACCCCATAGCTGCAGACCAGACTGAGAGCTGTTGGTGAAATCTACACCCTTGAGTTTGGTGATCACAGAACTCTGAATGACTTCCTCGGTCTCCTGATAGCCTTTCTTCCAAAGAAAAACCCACCTTTAAGAAGGTGCACAAGCAAAAGAAAATAAACAGTGTGAGAAATAACAACTTAGATTGTGAAAGGTATAAAAATACATTTTATTGGTTATTTAGAGTATAAAGAAGAGGATCTGTGTGCGAGGTACAGAGAGCAATGCTGTCTCATGTCCTATAAATCCTACAGTATAAATGGCCAACACACCCTGAAGGATGTTATAATCTATAGATATCATTACATTAAAGTTTTAGATTAATTATTTCTTGCAAAGGACGACTATTAAACAGTTTTAAAGGGCAATTATGAAATCAGGCTGGTGGTTTTGTGTGTAGCGTTTGGCCACAGCACGTGATCCAGGTCATCTTACATTCAGCAGCTTTTGTTGCACTTAAACACTATTTGAAAATTAAAAAGACAAAGGTATCAAGTTTTTGTCTGGTTCTGGTACATCTATAGACTAAATGGAGACTACTAATCTGAATCAAAACAAAAGTATTTTTCACTACATGCAAAACTTACAAACCGAGCACCAGCAAGTCAAACAGTGCAGGGACACTGCAATGCTTTCAGTCGTTCCCTTGATATAAATAACATCCGAGACATGGTGCTTTTGCTGTCGACTTACATTCGGTTTGTTGAAATTCATTGACAGTAACCATTTTAACATGAACCAACACTTAATGACCTATTATAATATGTGCTTTGAAGATTCAATCTTCGAAACACTGACAGAGCCCCGCTCGCTCACCTCAACGTCTTGATTTAGAGAAAGCACAAGGCACCTACCCGATCAGATATCCAATCACCCCCAGCTGAAAGAGTCTGAACAGAACTCCGACCTTTTTGTTTTTAGCGATGACAAATTTCTCGGTCTTGTAATCGAGTAGAGAGAATAAAAAGTTACCCCAGGTCTGAGCCATGCTCCTGTGTAAATGACAGCGTCGAAGCAGCTGTCAACTGCTCTGCGTAGACGGTGGTGCAGCCGGTTC